AACTGGTATTCCTAATTAAGAGACCAAAATAAATAAAACAGAGCATTTCTAAATTATTTTTCAAACACTTTCCTAAAATAATAAAAAATTGAATTTTCTGATTTAGCCTGTACAATATTTCCCAGAAAAAATAAGTATGCAGAATGATCAGCACAAAGTTGTTTCCTGCAGCAGGATAAGCTATATATATAAATAGCCAGCAGCCAGATTGCCGTAACAACCAGAACAACCAGTCACTATGATGCCCACTGAGACAAGCCTCCTACTGCCCCTCCCCCTAGCCAGTCCCGACCCTGATTGAGTGCAGGGTGGCCAGGCAACCCTCCCGCCCCCGATCAGCCCACCCCATCCAGATCGGCCCACAGCTCCTCCCCCCAGCCAACCCAACACCCAGGTGGGTCCCCACCAGCCCAATCGGCCCGCAGCCCTGCCCCTGGTCACCCCCCCAATAGGGGGCAGGGCTGGCCAGTCAACCTCCTACAGCCCCTCCTCTTGGCTAGCCCCACCGCTGATTGCCCCCCCCCTCCCCAATAGAGGGTGGGGCTGGCCAGCCAACCTCCTGTAGCCCCTCCCCCTACCTGGCCCCACCCCAGATCAGCCTCCCCACCCTGATCAGGGGCAGGGCTGGCCGGCCAACTGCCTGCAGCCCCTCCCCCTGGCTGGCCCTGCCCCCAATGCCCTCACCACCTGTTCAGCCTGTGGACCCTCCCCCCAGCCAGCTCCACCCCCAATTGCCTCCCCCCCCCACTCTGATCAGGGGCAGGACCAGCTAGCCAACCACCCATGGCCCCTCCCTGAGGCCACTGGCCCCCAATTGGCCCCCCACCCAATTTGAGGGCAGGGCAGCCAGCCCACAGCCCACAGACCTTCCCCATGGCCAGCCACACCCCCAATCACCCCCTGCAATGGTGGGTGGGGCCCACTGGCCAATTGCCCATGCCCCCCCCCCCCCCCCCAGCCAGCCCAGCCCTGATCAGGCCCCATCAGGGCTGGCCGGCAGGCCAACCGTGCACTGTCTCCTCCTCCTGACAGGCCGTGCCCTGATCCGCCCCGATTGGGGCCAGGCCAGCTGGACCCCACTCATGCACGAATTTGTGCACTGGGCCTCTAGTAAAAAATAAAAAACAAAAATCACCCTCCTTGGCCAGGTAATTTAGCGGCAGAAAAATCAAGCCATCTGCTAAGGCTGAGAGAAAAAAAAGGTGTGTTTAATCTGGCCTCCTATTTCTCCATAGCAACATTTAATGACAGGAAGGAAGGTGAAGGAACTTTTCCAGAACCCTAAAAGCAAGAGAGAGAGAGAGAAAAAAAAAAGGAATATGCCAAAAAAAGATTAAACCAAATGCCTAGCCCATTTGTTTTATGTTTATGGCAAAAGAAGACATTCTCAATTTTGTTCAGATTCTGGGAATCATGAGGCATTAATGAGTCCCTTAAAAAGCCACAAAAATATTTTAATTATATATATATATATATATATATATATATATATATATATATCCCAAAAGGATTGAATCAAAAGAAAGAACTCAAGGGAGGGGAATACATGTTTTAAAAATGCTGGTAATGAGTACTGAATATATTTAAATATATAACAAAATATTATATTTATTATTTAAGAAAAATGTGTTTACAGACTTTAACAATGTAAAAGTTATTAAATTTAAAAATTGTTTGCTTGTAGAGTGTATACATTTACTAATATCCTTATCTTTCAGAAGAAGAGCCAAAGATGAATCGTATTTCATGTTTGCTTCATTTTAGAAAGTGACAGCTGATAGTAAAATTTACATTTGTAAATAATTTCTAAATATCATTCAGACAGAAATCCAGCATACCTTACTATTGCTCTCATAAACTCATGCATAGTCCTTAATGGGTCAGACCAAAGTAAGAAAATGACCAGAAAGAGTCATTAAATAAAATTAAACCATTTTATAAATTTAAAATATCTTATGTGGCCAATGAGAAAGAGTGTGAGAAAAGCTACTATAACCAAAGCAGGTGGTATTTGGAAAAGATTAAACACAGAAATCAAAAAGAAACACAGCAGAGCATTCAGAAGTAAACTCAGAAATATATGGTTAAATGAGCTTCAACAATGGTGCAAGGGTGATTTAATAGGGAAAGGATAGTTTTGTCAACTAATGGTGCTGGAACAGTTGGATATTCAAAGAAGAAAGAAAGAAAGAAAGAAAGAGAAAGAAAGAAAGAAGGAAGGAAGGAAGGAAGAGGAAGGAGGAAGGAAGAAGAAGGAAGGAAGGAAGGAGGAGGGAAGGAAGGAAGGAGGAAGGAAGGACAGGAAGGAATGAATGAAAGGAAGGAAGTATGAATTAATGAACGGAAGAGTAAAGTATAAGGAAGGAAGGAAGGAAGAAAGAAAGAAAGAAGAGAGAGAAAGAAAGAAAGAGGAGAGAGAAAGGAGGGAGGGAGAGAGAGAGGAGGGAGGGAGGAAAAAAGGGAGAGAGAGAGGGGAAGGAAGGAAGGAAGGAAGGAAGGAAGGAAGGAAGGAAGGAAGGAAGGAAGGAAGGAAACGAACTTCAATCCATATCTCACACCACATACTAAATTACCTCAAAATGGGTTATATGCCAAATATAAAACCTGAAATTACAAAACTTCTAGAAGCAAATATAGGAGAAAACATTCATGGCACTGGATGAAGCAAAGGTTTTAAAATATGACATCAAAAGTACAATATACAAAATGAAAAGTTCACAAATTGGACTGTATCAAAATTGTAAACTTCTACTATTTAATAAATACTCAAGGAATAACAGAACATTTTTGTATTTTTTCAATGACAGTTTACAATCAATACTATTTTGTATTGATTTCAGGTGTATAGCATAGTGGTTAAACAATGATATACTTTATGAAGTGTTTCCCCCAATACTTCCAATACCCAATTGGCATCATACATAGTTATTACAATATTATTGATTATACTAGAGGCCCAGTGCACGAAATTCATGCATGGCGGGAGGGGGGAACCCTCAGCCTGGCCTGCACCCTTTCCAATCCAGGACCCCTGCCTTGCCTGATAACCCCTAACTGCCTCTGCCTGCCAGCCTGATCCCCCTAACTGCCTCTGCCTGCCAGCTTGATCCTCCTAACTGCTCTCCCTCCTGGCCTGATCCCCCTAACTGTCCTAACTGCTCTCCCCTGCTGACCTGATCGCCCCTAACCGCCTCTGCCCTGGCCCCCACCACCGTGGCTTTGTCTGGAAGGATGTCCAGAAGGATGTCTGGAAGATGTCAGGTCGAATTAGCATATTACCCTTTTATTAGTATAGATTTCCTATGCTGTACTACATCCCCATGACAATTTTGTAACTACCAAGCTGTACTTTTCAATCCCTCCAACTAAAAAGATATCTTTAAAAGGCTTTTTGGAATATTATTTACATCAAAGTTTTCAAAGTTTAAATTTAATAATATTAAAATAATATTAATAATATTAAAAAGAAAATAATATTAATAATATTAAAAATAATATTAATAATATTAAAAAGAAAAAGTAGGGTTCAGCATCCTCCAAAGTCTCTAATCTCTAACCCTTTCAGAGTGGGAGGCTAAGCTAGCCACCCTGTATGCCTTAGTTAGTCTTGGCCCAATCATGTCTTCACATATTACTAACACAACTCTTAGAGTCTACATGATCCACATCTACTCAAACCTATTTCCATTACAAGAGACTGAACCCCTAACCTAAAATAAATTCATCAAAAAGTAAATTCTTTGGCTAATGAAGTCCAGGGGTAGCTCTAACTTCACTTAGTGATGTCATCAGAACCTGGTCTTTCTCCATCTCCTAGTCTCCACCTAATACACAATGAATCAGAATCCCCAGACATGACTCTAGACTCTTATTTAAACAATAAAACCTTCCCAGGCCTCCTGGTGCTTACCACAAGCTGTGTTCTTACACTGACTGCACAGAAATAGGAGGCAGAGTAAACCCACCCTATATACATTTCAGCTTAGGCCCTTTGTCTGTTCTGTATTGTGAATGGGGAGATATTGAGAAGGAAAAAGAAAAGAAAAGGAAGGAAGGAAGGAAGGAAGGGAGGGAGGGAGGGAGGGAGGGAGGAAGGGAGGGAGGGAGGGAGGAAGGGAGGGAGGGAAGGAAGGAAGGAAGGGAAAGAAAGAGAGAGAAAGGGAGGAAGGAGCTTCCCAGATGCCATACAGAGCTCATTGGATAATTGCTTTATCTGTGTGTAGTTTATCTTCACAAGCTAATTACAAGCTTCTTACAGGCATGGACAACTTCTTTTGCACCATAATCACATAGAAAATTGGCTAGATGGATATTGAACAGGTATTGTGTAAAGTCTGGTAGATCTGAGGATGCTGTAAGTTTATTCATATTGGCATCAAATGGCATTTTAAAAAAATTTATATCCTTTTGGAAAATCTGGTCTAGTCAAAATACAGTTGTAGTCAAAGTTTTTGAACAACTATACCCAAGTAGTATTATTGAATAAATTTGAGTTGGTAGAGAAAAAGCCTCACACAGAATTCCAAAGAGCTCTGTTCTTGGCCCTACATTATTCAAAAAAAAAAAATTAAAACTTGGATAAAGATACAGATAATAAATATCATACCTGCATCTAACAAAAGTAGGATATGACAAATGATAAAAATGTTCTTATATAGCATGGTCACCTAAGCATTACCATTACTTCAATTTAGGGGTACTTCTAGTCTTCACATTTTCCCTGCTTTTTGTATATGTATTGTTGGCTCCACATTTCCCCTGAGCATCAAAGTTTTGGCTGCCAGCTTGTCTAGACTTACATCCTTACAACTCCAAATCTAGTGGGAAGAAAAGCTTTCCTTTTCCAACAATTCAGAAAAAAAGGACTGTCCTGATTTCCATTGAACAAAACCAGATTTTATGTCTGTTCCTAAGTACCATTCACAAAGGCCAACCAGACATGATGTTCTGGTTGGCCAGTTCCATGCTCACCTAGTAATGGTGTCAGCCACATCGGAGGCATACCAGAATGGAGTCCGAAGGGGAGAGGGTGGTTCCCCTGGAAAATTTGGCTGATGAGCTGCTAAACAACAAACCAAATAAGCCATGGTGTCTGCTCTCTTGGAGCTTACATTCTACTCAGAAAAACAACAATGTTAACAGATATTTTCAATGGGAGGTGGTAAACGTTGTGATAAAGGTTTACAGGATAGAGGGGCGAGTAAGTTCAATCTGGGGAGTAGGATCGTGGCTAAGAAAGTTTCCAGAAGAAGATGATGCCTAAATCTAGAAAGATTCATACGACTTTTCAAGGTATAGAAGAGGGCTTTGGAATGATATAAGGATGTTCCCAGGCATCCTGGACTTATAAGCCTTGATTCCTTTGAAGGTAGGAATCATGTCTTAACTTTGCCCCCCTAGAATCTAACATGGTGTCTGGCATCTATTGGACACTTTGTAAGTGCTTGGTGAATGTATTAATATTCCCTCATTACCTCTTCAACAAAAGTTATGTGGGGATTTTCGAGGTCAATATTTAACCTCATTGTTTAGAGAAGGAAGCAGATAAGAGAGGTTAGGTCATCAAAATCACAATGCCAGCTGATAGTGGTGTCACAGTAACCCTCACAGAAGTAGGGACATGTCCAAACCAAACTCCAGACATGAAGAACAGCGCAAATCTTAGCCTCGTGTGAGTACAGCAGTGAAGTAAGAAATAAAGTAAAAACTTTTCTATGATTAGTAGTTCTTATAAAGCCCAAACCATCAAATTTTCTTCTACTAATTTCAGATGTCAAGCGGCAACATTTTATTTTACAACGTCCTTGAATAAATAAGGACTGGGGGGAAACATGTTTGTTTGGGTGGGTTACTAAGCAACATCACACAGCTAGAGACTCCTTTTGAAGGTGGAATCTGCGGGACCACCTGGTTCTTCAGCTTATGTCTACTTCATTGATTTACACGGGAAAATAAAAGCAAAACAGGAAACAAACAGGCTATTGCATTAATACAGAAGTCAGCCGTGTGGAGAATACTAAATATTAAATTAGACTAGACTGTTTTTAAAATTACCTTTTAAAATAGCTTTTCTGAGTGTCCACAGTGGCATTGAGACTAAAAGATAGAGTTTGTACAGCATGTCCTCAGACGAACCTAGTATACAGATAAAAATAAAGCCAAATAGCACCCATGCTATTATCTGTCCCACATGGTACTTCGGGTCCTCTAGATTATTAAAATCTCTAATATGGCAATATGATGTGGCAACCAGATGAAGAAAAATATGAGTTTGTACATATCATATCTAATAAGGGAAAACTTTGCATGAGAAATAGAGGTTTTTTAAATATATTTTTATTGATTTCAAAGGGGAAGGGAGAGGGAGAGAGAAAGAAACATCAATGATGAGAGAGAATCATTGATCAGTGGCCTCCTGCACGCCCCTACTGGGGAGGGAGCCCACAAACAGGGCATGTGCCCGTGACTGGAATCAAACCTGGGACCCTTCAGTACACAGGCCAACGCTCTATTCACTGAGCCAAACCACCTAGGGCAGAAATAGAGTTTTAAGATGAATATTAAAGGAATTCTGTGGATACGGAAAGAAATTTACAGCCTCAAGGTTTGATTCAGCAAAAGCTAGGAGCTCTGAAGGGAAAAAAGAAAAAAATCAAAAACATGTCAAGGTAAAAGCACAAAAGAAAACTAAATCCAGAAAAATATTGAGAGGTATTTTCACTAGAAACATATTCGATGGCTGGTGAAGGGTTTATAAAGACTAAGATTGAAATTAGTAGTGAAACTCCCGAAATGTAAAGTTTAGAACACAATGGACCACATTATACTACCCAAGTATTGCTGTGAATTTTTGTAAATCACATGTCTTGCAATGATTTGTAATTAAACTTGTGGGTAAGCACACAACTAAGTCTGAATTATGTATGTGTGGACACATTTTCAATCAACCTGAATTCTATTCAGGAGAAGGGTATAGTCTTAGGGAGAATCATTCAGGTTTTATTTTAAATAACTGACACTATATATAAAAAAAAAAGCATTATTATTAATTACAAAATAAAGCCTGTACTTTTCAACATACCTCTGGGGCCTACCTTGATCTGACCCTCCCTATCTTCTCCTCCCACACCAGTCTCTCTTCTCAACCCCCTCTTTTGTGAAAGCCTTCACTATTAATCTGACACTAAATTATATTCTGCTGTCTATTGTTATTTAGACTAAACATGTTATCTCTCCAATGAGATTATAACTCCCCAAAAGATCTGTCCAAATAGTATTTTGTTTTGTTTAGTATATTCTAACTAAATTATGATGCTATTTACTATGCACAGTAAAAGTGAAGAATTTGAACCCAAAAACGGATAGTAATTAAATTAATCTGCTTTATTCTATTATTCCTTGATATTATTGTTTTCTCATTCAGTATTCTCTTCCGTAGGTCTCTACGTAGACCTACTAGCAAAAAATAGTAAGAACAAACAAACAATGAACACACTAAGCAGTAATCTGCTGTCTTCTAAACCTTGAACTATAGCAAATCAAAAAGTCTTTGGGAACAAATATCACAAAACTGAAAATAGCATTTTGAGCAGTCACTTTGTTATAGCTTCACGTGGGCTTAAGCTCTTCCCAGGGCCTTTGGAGCTCAGAGGCACAGTGCTGGTATGTAAAAGTTAAAAAGAACTCTACATGAAGAATTAGGAAACCCTGTCCTTTGTCAAAGGTGTAGCTGTGTGACTGTAAATGGTGGCACCTGATCAGATTCGTTCCTTGACAAATCCTCAGGGCTTTTCACCTGTTTCATTGATAGCACTCTCACCCTTTTGCACAGTAGTTTCTCAAGAAGTATGTGTTGGAGAACCAAGATGGCGGCATAGGTTAACGCCGGAGTTTGCTGCTTTGAACAACTACTTCAAAAGTGAAACCAAAAAACGGAAGGGACATCACCCAGAACCACAGGAATGCTGGCTGAGTGGAAGTCCTACAACTAGGAGGAAAGAGAAACGCATACGGACACTCAGAGGAGGCGCAGTGCTTAAGTCAAATTCTGAGGTGCAGAGTGCGCGGAGCGGGCTGGCGGCGGAGGGCGCGGTTGGCGTTTTCAATCGGGAGGGAGTAGCAGACTCTGAGCTCCAGATCCGGGCGAGTCTTTAGGGACCCTGACTCAAACGGGAGAAGCGGGACTGTCTGGCTTCGGTCGGAGCGAGTGCAGCTTTCTCTCTGAGCTTTGCAGCGGGTGCTGGGACTCAGAGAGGCAGAGCCCCTGGGGACAGGACTGAGAGCCGCCATAACTGCTCTCTCCGGCCTACCCTGTTGATCCTGTGCGACCCGCCCCACCCAAGCCCTGCACACAGGCATTTGCCGGATAGCCTCAGGCAAAGGCTAGATTAGCACCTCCCTAGAGGACAGAAGTTCTCTCACTGCTGACACAGCTGATTCTCATAGCCGCTTGGCCTGGAGGTCAAACCCTCCCTGGAATTAGCTACAACAATCAAGATTTAACTATAAGACTGCGAACAAAGACCACTAGGGGGTGCACCAAGGAAGCATAACAAAATGCGGAGACAAAGAAACAGGACAAAATTGTCAATGGAAGATATAGAGTTCAGAACCACACTTTTAAGGTCTCTCAAGAACTGTTTAAAAGCCGCCGATAAACTTAATGAGATCTACAAGAAAACTAATGAGACCCTCGATGTTATATTGGGGAACCAACTAGAAATTAAGCATACACGGACTGAAATAACGAATATTATACAGACTCCCGACAGCAGACCAGAGGAGTGCAAGAATCAAGTCAATGATTTGAAATGCGAGGAAGCAAAAAACACCCAACCGGAAAAGCAAAATGAAAAAAGAATCCAAAAATGCGAGGATAGTGTAAGGAGCCTCTGGGACAGCTTCAAGCGTACCAACATCAGAATTATAGGGGTGCCAGAAGATGAGAGAGGGCAAGATATTGAAAACCTATTTGAAGAAATAATGACAGAAAACTTCCCCCACCTGGTGAAAGAAATGGACTTACAGGTCCAAGAAGGGCGGAGAACCCCAAACAAAAGGAATCCAAAGAGGACCACACCAAGACACATCATAATTAAAATGCCAAGAGCAAAAGATAAAGAGAGAATCTTAAAAACAGCAAGAGAAAGAAACTCAGTTACCTACAAGGGAATACCCATACGACTGTCAGCTGATTTCTCAACAGAAACTTTGCAGGCCAGAAGGGAGTGGCAAGAAATATTCAAAGTGATGAATACCAAGAACCTACAACCAAGATTACTTTATCCAGCAAAGCTATCATTCAGAATTGAAGGTCAGATAAAGAGCTTCACAGATAAGGAAAAGCTAAAGGAGTTCATCACCACCAAACCAGGATTATATGAAATGCTGAAAGGTATCCTTTAAGAAGAGGAAGAGGAAGAGGAAGAAAAAGGTAAAGATACAAATTATGAACAACAAATATGCATCTATCAACAAGTGAATCTAAGAATCAAGTGAATAAATAATCTGGTGAACAGAATGAACTGTTGATTATAATAGAATCAGGGACATAGAAAGGGAATGGACTGACTATTCTTGGGGGGGAAAAGGGGTGTGGGAGATGAGGGAAGAGACTGGACAAAAATCGTGCACCTATGGATGAGGACAGTGGGTGGGGAGTGAGGGCGGAGGGTGGGGCGGGAACTGGGAGGAGGGGAGTTATGGGGGGAAAAAAAAGAGGAACAAATGTAATAATCTGAACAATAAAGATTTAATTAAAAAAAATAAAAAAAAAAAAAAAAAAAAAGAAGTATGTGTTATGGCCCTGCTGGTGTGGCTCAGTGGTTGAGCATCAACCTATGAACCAGCAGGTCACAGTTCAATTCCCAGTCAGGGCACATGCCCGGGTTGTGGGCCCGGTCCCCAGTAGGGGTGTGCAGGAGGCAGCTGATCAATGATTCTCTCTCTCATTGATACTTCTATCTCTCTCTCCCTCCCCCTTCCTCTCTTTCTAAAATCAATAAAAACATATTTTTTAAAAAAGAAGAAATACATGTCATGGAATCTTTTATGCTGGGCATAGAGCCTCTGTCCTCAAGAAGATCATAGTTTGGTTGAGACAAAGATTTCCAAATGCCCAATTTTATCATTATTAAGAGATAAGAACTAATAATAGCTAACACTTGAGTATTTACCATGTGCCAGACAGTATTCCACGTGCCTTGCCTGAATTAATTCACTTATTCCTCTCAACAACCCTATGATCTGAACGCTCTATTTCCATTTTTATAGACTCAGGGAGAAAAACAATTTGCCCAAGGTCACACAGCTAGGCCGTGGCAGGGCAGGCTCGGCATTAGCACTTGTAGGCACAAGTCGAAGAGTACGTCTGACTCAAGGACCACTGGAGTTCCTAATGAAACACTAGACACATGGGGTAAACGTTTCATGAAAGCCCATCCCTTTGGGACATCTTGGTGCTTCTGAAACTCGAGATGCCCCAGAATCCTCCGAGAAGATTCAGAATTTCACCCTGAAATCCTGGAGATTCTGAATCAGTAAGGTTAGAGTAGGGACCCAGAATCTATAGTTTTAACAAGTGCCGCTGATAACCTTGTGATCCGTTTTTAAAACACTGCACTACATCTATTTTCCAGCAGAACCCTTCGGCTCAGCTTCTGTGCTCTCTTTTCAGGCCTGGCACTCTGCTGGCCAAGTGTCGGCTCAGAACCCGTTGACCACGCAGTCTGTAGTGCTGTGTGGGGCCTCGGCATCTTTGGAGAGGCCTGGATTACAGGCATCATAACCTTGACCCAGGACAGTTATTTGTGGTTTATTTGTCTGTCTCCTCTCAAGTGCAGGAGCTGTTTCACATTCTGCTTTATATACCCAGCATGTAGTTCAGGGCACAGGAAGTGTCTTCAGAATGAATTGATGGATAGCATGAGCCATGCTTATGCTCCAGGCCCAGCAGCCCTGCCTTAAGCAGAAGACAGGTACCTAGCAGGATCAGGTGATACGTAGCCACAATTACTTAAATGCAAGCAGCATATTTTGACCACATAGGGAACCAACAAAGGATGTGGCACGGGGTACAGGATGGGAAACCATGCTAGAAAAGTAGGTGGGAGGTTGTTCTGGGCTGAATCAGCTTGTCTCCATCAATAGTCCATATGTTGAAGTCCTAAGCCCCAGGACCTCAGAATGAGACTGCAGTTGGAGATAGAGCTTTTTAAAAGTGAGTGCCTGGCTGGTGTGTCTCAGTGGTTGAGCGTCCACCCATGAACCAAAAGGTCACTGGTTCCATTCCCAGTCAGGGCACATACCAGGCTGCAGGCTTGATCCCCAGTGGGGAGTGTGCAGGAGGCAATGATCGATGTTTCTCTCTCATTGATGTTCCTATCTCTCCCTTTCTCTCTAACATCAAATTATATATATATATATATATCTTAAAGTAATTGAGTGAACATGAAGTCATTAGGGTAGATGCTAATCCGATAGGACTGGTGTCCTTATATAAAGAGGAGATTAAGACACAGAGAAAAGTACATGTGAAGATAGTGGAGGAAACCCGCCCTCTACAAGCCAAGGAAAGAGGCTTCAGAAGAAACTAACCCTGCCAACACCTTGATCTCAGACTTCCAGCAAATACAATTGTGAGAAAATAAATTTCTGTCATTTAAGCCACCCAGTCTGTGACTTTATTAATGGCAGTACTAGCAAACAAATACAGGAGCAGAGTATGAAAACTTACTAAGCCAAACGATGGAAATTCACTTTTAGCCTTTAAGCTGTCAGAAGCCCTAGAAGTGTCTAAGCATCAGTGTGCCATGAGCAGCTTTGGTTCTGTAATATAATTTGGAAGCAGTGGAGCCCCTGAAGTAGAGGATGGAGGTGGAATGGACAGGTAGATCCATTATTCAATGTGATACAGAATGAGACATAAGGTAAGGGCCCTGGATGAAACCATTAGCAACGGGAATGAGAAAACAGAAGTCCTACCAGAGAGACAACTGTGGGACAAAAGTAACAAGATTTGGGGGAGATGAGGTGTGGGCTGAGGAGAGATGCGGATATCCTGAAGGGGGTGAAGCTTGGAAAGTGGGGAGGACAGCAATGCCTCAGATTCCCACTGGGGATACAGGAGGTGGAGCAGGCTTCACAGAGGAGGGAGAAGATAACTAGTTTGGAATAGGTTAAGTTTCAGACCGTTGCAGAGAATAGAGTTGAATGTGCTTGGTGGAATGAGAATCAAGTTCTGGACCTAGGGCCTGATGTAAGATTCTGTGACTCGGGGGTCAAGGCTGGCCCCCGCAGGGATGAGGGGGATGAGCTTACCCTGGGCGCCCCATGCATCTCAGAGTCCCAAGGCCCAATCCATAAGATCCCACAATGGATGGAGAGAGGAGCCAACAGAGATTGAAGAAACCATCTAAAAAGAAACAGAAGACAGGAGAGGAGGGTCGTCAAGAGCCAAGAAAGTCAACATTAGTAGTTTGTTGATAGTTTTCAAAGGAAGCAACGCTTTCTGTGCCCATGCTGCAGACCAGCTCAGGCTGGCTTTCCCTGGTTCACACCATCATTCTCTCATTCTCATTCTCATTCTCTCTCTCATTCTCTCTCTCTCTCTCTTTCTCTCTCTCTCTCTCCCCCCCCCCCCCCCCCTCCTTCCCCCTCCCCCCCCCCCCCCCCCCCCCGCCGTCCCCGCAATTTGGTAAATCGAGACAAAAGTGGCTGGGAGTTAACGAGGACCCAAGCACCCAAGCATGACCTCAGGGTCGCGCAGGCAGTGACAGCTCAACAGCCCTTTCCCCACCAGCCGGCGGGCGGGCGGGCGGGCGAGCTGGCGGGTCGGCGACACGGTCCCCGCCCGAGCCCTTTCACCCGAAAGGAATGTGGGCGCGCGCGCTGGACTCCGGCTCCGCTTGGAACGCGGGCCCGGGCGCCGCTCGCCCAGCGCGCCGGCCTCGGGGGCGGCTCCCTCGCGCCTCCCCCCACCGCGCGCCCGGCCGCTGGGAGAGGCGAGGCGAGGCGAGGCGAGGCGAGGGGGAGGCGGCTGGAGGGGGCGGGCGAGGGACGCGGGACTGCGGGGAGGTCGGGGGCGGGGAGCGACGGGCGGCGGGCCCCGGGAAGAAAAGAACATGGCTCCTGCGGCGGGCAGCGCCGAGCGCCGCGCGGGGCGAAGGCGCGCCGGGCGCCAGTGACCGCGATGGTGAACTCGAGCCGCGTGCAGCCGCAGCCGCCGGGGGACGCGAAGCAGCCGCCCGCGCCCCGAGCGGCGGGCCCGGGCCGGCTGATGGCGGGCGGCGCGGCCGTGGGAGCCGGCCTGGCGGCCCCCGGCGGCCTCCGCGAGCCGAGGGGCCTGGAGATCGAGATGGAGCGCATCCGGCAGGCGGCCGCGCGGGACCCCCCGGCGGGAGCCTCGGCCTCCCCGTCCCCTCCGCTCTCGTCGTGCTCGCGGCAGGCGTGGAGCCGCGACAACCCGGGCTTCGAGGCCGAGGAAGACGAGGAGGAAGAGGAGGTGGAAGGGGAAGAAGGGGGGATGGTGGTGGAGATGGACGTGGAGTGGCGCCCGGGCAGCCGGAGGTCGGCCGCGTCCTCAGCCGTGAGCTCCGGGGGCGCCCGGGGCCGGGGACTGGGGGGCTACCACGGCGCGGGCCACCCGAGCGGGAGGCGGCGCCGGCCAGAGGACCGGAGCCCCCCGCACCCCAGCCCGGCGGGCGGCGGGGACCCGCTGCATCGCCACCTCCCCATGGACGGGCAGCCTCCGCGAGTGGCCTGGGCCGAGAGGCTGGTGCGCGGGCTGCGAGGTAAGAGCGCCACTGGCCGCGGCTGATGCGCCCACCTGGCGGGCGGGAGCCCTCGCCCGCTGCGGGCTGCTTTCGGGGCTCCACCTCGCGTCCCCGCCTCCCCTGGAGACGCATTCCCCACTTCTGCTAATTCTGCTCCGTTTCCGGTACTCAGCGCCGCATTCCGCTGTTCCCTTCCCGGTGCAAATTTGTTGGATACCTCTTTCTTCCAGGAGGAAAAAAAAAAATGTCTGGAAATAAGTGAAAGCCATATTAAAGTGAAAGGATACATCTGAGGATATTTTTTTTTGAATTGTAGAGGGAAAATGAATAGTGGACCAAATGGTGGTTATGCTGTGTACTTGCTCATTTCGCTGCATTAGATCCCAAGTTCTGCATTGGTACCCATGTTCTCCCGCAGATCTCGATCCCTCGTTGCTCTTCCTCCCGTTCTCGAAAGGGTAACCGTCCAGTCTTCTCCTAGCGGTGGGAGGAGTGTCATTGGGTTGTCATTGATGTTGTTTTGATGTGTGTGGTTGTTTCTGGGAGTGGTGCTTTTGAGAACACCGCGAATAGAATAAAATAATATCTTTGAAAACAGTTATTTGGCCATTTCTAATTCTAGGCATTTCCCTAAAACAGTTGTAAAAAAAAGTTACATTGTTTTAAAAAACTTGGAAGTATGTTTTTAAATAACTAAATTAATGTTCATTGAAATTCCAGTCAAACAGTGAAGTCACCAGATACCAGCTGTGTGTACATGTGTTGGTTCAGTGCACCCAACTCTCCAAAAGTCAGGAAAGGAATTTTCAGACTTGCCAGTGTGTAGTAAGAGGACACAAATTTTCCAAGAGCAGATGGGGATCCTTTTTTTTGCAAAGTTTTGTCAGAAGCATCCTTGGAAAAGAGTTGCATTTGTTCTTACCATCCGAATTATTTTAATCTCCACTTTTAAGAGTTTTCATTCTCCCTTCTTTTGAAAATTTCCCTTCCCTTCTCTAATCTTTCCGTCAGTTTTGAAAATCTTGCACACAAAAAAACACCCAGGTGTTTTCATAACAACATGATTAAGATCAAGCCAGACCTACATATAGACCCCCAGTTCTACCATGCATTGGCTGCGTGACCTTGAGCAAATTGCTAAACCTCTCTGATCCCCAACTTTTGCATTTGTTTTTTAAAAGAGATAATCCCAATATATAGTTCTTGACTTTGGAGAATTAAATGAGATGAGACGTGTAAAATGTATAACAAGTCTCTCCCATTTTGTGAGTACTTCATAAATTAAATCAGAAACTCCAAAAAGTATACATTTTTTGCTACTTCTTTTACATTAGTGCTTTTGCTGGTTAATTTGATTCAGAACATGGTAGAAAAGGAAAGATCCTTTTTTAATAACCTGTGTGAGTAGATTACTAAAAAAAACTAATACTTTTTAAGGTTCAAATCTGTATTCAAATAAATTATAGACAGTCGACCCTTGAACAAGCAGGTGGTTGGGGGCACTGACCTTCTCTTATAACCACAGTCAGTCCCTCTACATGTGCCAATTCCCAACTGCAGAGTTGACCCTTGAACAACTGGGTTTTGGACCGGATAGGTCAATTGAAAAAAATCCCAGTATAAGTGGACCTGCTTAGTTCAAATCCATGTGGTTCAAGGGGCAACTGTATTATTTTACATTGTTTTAAATGTACTTTTAAAAATATTCACTGAAGTGAGAATAAAGTTTCCTATAAGTTAATATGTAATAGTAAATCAAGATCCTTTTAAGTCAAATAAGCATTTGATAACACATTTAACCTTCTTTGAATAAACTAATGGAATATAATAAAATGAAATATATATATTTATATGAGTGTAATATGAGTTAACTTTTTTTAAATAAAACTTTCAGAAAATTTACAATGAATGAGCTCATATTTAAATCATATCTTACCAATCAATGGTCTAATTAGTAGGAGAGCACGCTCAAAAAAAGATTTTACAGAAAATTTTAGGACAAATATTATTTTATGAAGAACTATAACTGGCATTCTTGTCACTTGTTAAATAAATGACATTTGTTAAATACTTAGCACCTACTGTGAAACTAATACTCTGGTAGGTGCTACAAAAAAAAGAAATAAACTAAAATAGCATATTACCATTTTCCTATACACAAACCCAGAAAAGTAAAATAAATAACTGAATGAGTTGTGATTCATTTGTCTTTCCCTCTTGGGATACCAATGAAAAGAATCTCATATGTATTATGTAAGTAGTGCCCTAGGATCAGAGCAGAAAGTAGCCTTCCATTTCTAAAGGTAAGAGAGGTTACTCAAGCTTGGAGTGGTCAGGAGCTTCTCTGGAGGCTGCCTGTCTTTGTGACTTTAGACAACTCACTCAAGCTTCCTGGGCCTCAGGTGCTTGTTCATAAAATGGAAGAGTTTGCCCGGCCAACGTGGCTCAGTGGTTGAGCATCAACCTATAAACCAGGAGGTCATGGTTCGATTCCCAGTCAGGGCACATGCCTGGGTTGTAGGCTCGATCCCCAGTGTAGGGCGTGCAAGAGGCAGTCGATCAATGATTCTCTGTCATCATTGATGTTTCTATCTCTCTCTCACTCTCCCTTTCTCTCTGAAATCAATAAAAACACATTTTAATAAAATGGAAGAATTCAACCTTTTAGCTTCAACATTCCCTTGTGTTGTTTAATGACATGAATCCAAGATGGACAACAAATGGTCATTTTCCCTCCTTGAACAGTAGCTAGATCTATCTTCTTAGTAGAAATAATATAGCAAAGAAGACATGTTTGAGGCCTGGCTCTGGGAAACATTGTGTCTAACTAAGGAATTAAGAATTTATCTCTTAATATTCAGAAGTAGTTGAAAGTTTCTGAGCAAGAACAGAACTTGCTGCAAAGGACTGTGAGTCAGGCAGTGTGCTGTGTAGGAGAGCTTTCAGAGGGAGACAGGAAGACAAGGGGACCATGTAAGAGGCAGCCAGTGCTATAAAGAGGTGCTGAAGGCCTGGGCCAAAGGAAATGAAGGATGGCTGAAAAATTTAAAGACTTCCCCAAACTTAAAGGTACCCCCAGTGATACTGTTTTCTCTCATCTTAGCAAACTCTTTTCAGTGCAAAGGTACAACTTGATACTCTACACCAACTATCCAGTTTTCTGAATTTCCAAAGTTGAATGTGTTTTCTGGGTGAATTTGTGTACTAACTTGTTAAAGTCATTTTCTGCTTGTTATTTTAGACATCTACTGGTATGCTTTTTTGTTTCTTTTTTGAGAAATCAAAGTACTAGCTGTATTGGTCAGGGCAGGCTAAGCTGCTATAACAAATAATACCTCCTTTCCCATTCACTATGTTGTCGCATCACTATCCATTTCCAGAACTTTATCATCATCCCAAACAGAAACTCTACCCATCTATACTAATAAAAGGGTAATATGCTAATTAGACCTGATAGACCAGACATCTTTTGGTTATCCGGTCCTCCTTCCAGACAAAGCCATAGGTGGGGGGCGGGGGGGGGGGGGCGGGGCAAGGCAGAGGTGGCTAGGGGCGATCAGGCCGGCAGGGGAGCAGTTAGGGGCGATCAGGCAGGCAGGCAGTGGGGTTAGGGCCGATCAGGCAGGCAGGCAGAGGCAGTTAGGGTTGATCAGGCAGGCATGCAGAGTGGTTAGGGGCAATCAGGCAGGCAGGCAGGCAGGTGAGCAGTTAGGAGCCAGCAGTCCCAGATTGCAAGAGGGATGTCCAACTGCCGGACATCCCTGAGGGGTCCCAGATTGGAGAGGGTGCAGAACGGGCTGAGGAGCCCCCTTC